AGTATATCCTCCCTTTATTTCATTCTTGGTTGGGATCTTCTGACTTAACGCCCCTAGGGTCCAACTCAAAGAGCAAAAGCTGAGCAGTGCACTGGGGAGCAGTGGGAGGAAGCGATCCTACTGCCTCGGCTCAAGACTTCCCATTCTGCAGGAAAAGAATGGCTTGTGGATTGCCTTCACTGTGGACTGTCTGTGACCGTACCTCCTATTAGCGCTCGCTGCCTCCCTGCTACACAAAAATTCGTATTTCCCCGGCAGAACGTCCATCTAAATCAGCGTGCCCAATGCCTCCTCTTGGCCACGACTGCCACAGGCTTGAGTCTGCCAGCCGGGAATGTGGGTGGCAGGGCATGGAAGAGAAGGACTGGGCACAGGCCTCGCGTGACACAGGCAGGTCTATTCCCACGATGGGCAGCTCTGTGTCATACATCGGGAGGGGGCACTGGTACCTGCTTCTGGCACAGCTCAGAAGGAGGAAGAACAGGGTGTAGAAGCTAGGCTTGCTACAGCATTCAGTCCCCAGTAAAGAAAAAATATGGAGTAATTTGTTCCTGACTGAATTCCCTCCATCAGGTTGTTCTTCAGCTACACCAGGTGTTATCCGCCTTCCCGTGCCTCTTCTGTGCCACACACACCCCACCATCTGCCCTTGGCTTAAAGCATACAGTTGGGAACGTTCTGGGCTTTCCTTTCCCCAGGTGAAAGAAGGGCAGGGTCACTCACTGGCCTAGGACGGGAAAACTCCACACTCAATTGCTGTATTGGCTACAGAACCCCAACATATTTTTAGGGAAAAAAAATCTCTTAATCTCTCTGTATCCCAAGTTCATAGAATCATAGAATCATAGAATGGTTTGGGTTGGAAGGGCCCTTAAAGATCATCCAGTTCCAACCCCCCTGCCATGGGCAGGGACACCTTCCACTAGACCAGGTTGCTCAAAGCCACATCCAGCCTGGCCTTGAAGACATCCAGGGATGGGGCATCCAAAACATCTCTGGGCAACCTGTCCCAGTGCCTCACCACCCTCTCGGTGAAGAATTTCTTCCTGACATCTAAGCTAAACCTCCCTGATTTCAATTTATACTCATTACCCCTTGTCCTATCACTACCGGCTCTTGTAAAAAGTCCTCTCCCAGTACCCTTGTAGGCCCCCTTCAGATACTGGAAAGCTGCAATGAGGCCTCCTCGGAGCCTCCTCTTCTCCAGGCTGAACAAGCCCAATTCTTGCAGCCTTTCGTCATAGGAGAGGTGCTCCAGCCCTCTGATCATCTTCGTGGCCTCCTCTGGACTCGCTCCAACTGGTCAATATCCTTCTGATGTTGAGGGCTCCACAGCTGGATGCAGCACTCCAGGTGGGGTCTCACCAGAGCAGAGTAGAGGGGCAGAATCCCCTCCCTCGACCTGCTGGCCACACTTCTCTGGATACAGCCCAAGTTCCCAAAGAACACCAGAGTCCCCTCCCTGCACACAATGCTGGGAAGAAACACTGTAAGTCTGGTATCTAATTTTCAAGAGGCTTTGCACCACAAAGATCTGAGCAGAATTTTGCAGCTTACAGAGCTCGTTACCGTTGAGAAGATGTTACGAGACCCTCGAGCAAATGGTGCTTTAGAAATTCCAGATCCTGCAGCAATGCGATTCCAACAATCAGTGTGATGATGCACCCTTCCCTCAAAGTGTGCTCTGCTCCGCACAGGGGATGGGTGACATGACCCTCTGAGGTCCCTTCAAAACTACATTATTCTGTGATTCTAACAGCATCCAGGGAAAGTGAAATAAACAATTAACCATCCATTATCATGCCAGACAGAGGCCAAGCATGTTTCACACACTTACCCTTCCCTGGCACTCTCCAAGGGCGACTGGTGCTGATGTGGACTGGAAAGCGTGGAGTCGAGTGGATGGTGTCTTGAAGGGACGTCATGAGGCGGCGGCAATATACCCGGTGAGGGACCGTTACGGTTAGCGCTGGAGCCACTGTACATGCCTGTGAACACACAGCATTCGCAAAACAAAATAAGCAAGGAAAGAAGCATCCAGGTAAGTCCTTGAGGGCCCCCGACTCCTTCCCTAACCCCACCCGCCCCTGAGACACCCACAGAGCAGCCCACTGCTGCTGGGGAGTGGCGCTGCCAGGGGGAGTCACCTACTCACAGCCCCAGCACGTCGGGGAGTCCCGCTGTGCTAGGAACAGCGCTCAAAGCTGTATTTGACCCGTGTCTGTCTCCCCTCCAACCCTGCCAGGTGGCCTATCTCCTCCTGGCTGTGACTGCAGACCTGTAAGCTCTCCTCCCGGCAGCTGGCAGGACTTGGCAGGACCCTCACCCTGCCTTCGCCCTGCTTCCGAGCGAGAACTCAGTGCTCACTGCTTGCAGGATGATGGAGCCCGTACGGACTGCGCAGCGGTACACAACACCCTCCCGACACCGAACCCAGAGCACTGCGTTTGGGTAAGGGGACCAGGATTTGATTTTTTTTTTCATTGTCCATTTAAAGATTTTTTAATTTGATGTTCCGTTATGATGCTGCTGGATATCCTAAAAATATCACATATTGATACAAATGAAAACCCAACAGAATAAATGTGAAGAGGAGCAAGGAGAAATCTTTTATGAGACCATGAAAACAAAAGGTTTCTAGTACACAGAAGGAGGTACTGAAGGAAGGTTGATGTTCCATTTATTTATGACTCTGGGTACTTTCCCCACCGTGGCAGTCGGGCACTAACAGTCAGTCACTTTGCTGAGGAAACTTTGTCCAGGACTCTTGGAATAAGAGGCCGGGATTAAGGTTTTTCTTACAGTCCCCATGCTAAAGAGCAAGCCACACTCTAGGACAGTCCAGGCTACCTGGGGCCAGGGCCTGGCCACTGGCTTGGGTGTGAAGGCTGTGCTGAGGGCAGGGGCCTGCGATGAGGGGAGAAAGCATCACAAACAGAAAGCCCCACGAGCCGCGGGGCACATGTGACAGCCCGCGGGGCGGATAAGAGGGCTAAATGTCAGCATCTGTTTCTGTGCGACTGAAGAGCAGAACCACCAAGGCAAGATTCCAGCCACCTCTGTCAGGGACTTCAGATGAGTCAAAAACCGCTCGTGAACAATGAGTCCTCAGCTGTTGACAGATCTAAAGCAACAAAAATGAACCACATCATCTCTGTCCCCTGCTAGACAGAACATTTGTCAACCCGCCAGCGTAACCAACTTGCTTTCTGCACTGAGAGCCAGACAGAAGGGGCTTTAAGAAGTCAGATGTTCCCAGGTGATG